ATATAGAATTACCTATGTAATGTTCAATTTGAATTCGATTTCTAAATGTTTCGTTTGTACGTAAAGTACAATCAATTTCAGGAAAAATGACTCTATTGTGGAAAAAATCGCCTTCTTGTACACATCTAGAACATGAAAAATATCCAGTATGACTTTTGATGTATGTAATAAATGATCTAGCCGGAGCGTCACATACTATTGCATTAATAACAACCGTATATGTTTCATTGTAAACAGTTATACCACGTTAAGAAAGTTCAATAAATTTATTTACAAAATCAGTTAAAAATTTGTTAGCATCACTAGGCTTGCGCATACCATGATATACTCCAATTACGAAAGACACTGTATAAACATCAATTTCCTCAATAGATGCCATAATAGGCCAAAATTGACTGCCAGAACTCTTGGACAGTGGCAAACCGTCTACATTTACATTTAATTTTATTTCCTTTGTTTTCAAAAATTTGTGATATATTTTTATGGATCACTCCAGAGCAAAAGAAAGGCCAAAGTGTATGTAGTGACCATTACCTATAACCTTTACGGACACATTTCGTGGGGTTTGAAGTAAAACTCTAACATCACTAGGTAATTCTACATAACCGTGTTTTCTTAGAATCAAAAGTAATTTGTTAGCAGTGTTATGTGAAATATTACCTTCCATTATTAATCTTTGTAAATCTGTTCGTAAAGTCGTTTCATCCATACAATCTATGACATCTTCCAATGTCACAGGAGTGTCATTTTGTGACTCAATATGAGGTTCTTCATGTTTCCTTTCTACATGAGACTGTGATTCTAATAATGCATCTAATCCATTTAGATCTGTAACATTTCCATAAGAAATACAACCAATATTTACTGCTTCATCTACCGATTCATCTACCGCTTCATCTACCGCTTCAAGTACTGAAAGTGCTATGTTCCGAACAACTGATTGCAACAAAGAAGGATCTTCATGACAATGTAACTTATAATTTATTAACTGATTCTTTCGTGTCTTAGATAAATACCGTATATCCTTAGGCATGGTGCAGGCAAGTTGTGGTCATTCGTGGTACACGATCTCCCACGAACAAGCGCGGTCTTCTAAATGTATATCGTCGCGATCACGTCGCGATCGTGGCACGATGGAACTAGCGGAACTGCGGAAAGAGACCTATATTATAGTATGATATGCACAACGTGTTCTAACGTATAGATACATACCTTCAAGTAGGTTATCTCTCGTACGAAGGCGAATCAAAGCGACATCCTCGACCGTCTCTCGCCGGCGTCGCGTCCTTTTACGAGCGACGGGCCGTCGCGCGCACGAGACACCCGCGAACGTGGTACACGATCTCCCACGGACGGGCGCGGTCTTCTAAATGTATATCGTCGCGATCACGTCGTGATCGTGGCACGATGGCACTAGCGGAACTGCGGAAAGAAACCTATATTATAGTATGATATGCACAACGTGTTCTAACCTAGCTTCTAACGTATATGTATACATACCTTCAAATAGGTTATCTCTCGTACGAAGGCGAATCAAAGGGACGTCCTCGACCGTCTCTCGCCGGCGTCGAGTCTTTTCACGAGCGCCGGGCCGTCGCACGCACGAGACACCCGCAAACGCGGTTCACGATCTCTCACGGACGGGCGCGGTCTTCTAAATGAATATCGTCACGATCGTGGCACGATGGCACGAGCAGAAGCGGGAAAGAGATCGCGAACTTGCGCGCGCCGCTATGGCGCATGCTATCGAAGTTATATAATTCCGGCGGTAACGAAACGGTTCTTGAAACGGTTGTTGTATAACACGCATATATTGCAGTTGTATAATTGTGCATTTATTATAACATATGAATAACGGAGTAATATAATAGTTTTATAACCTAGTTATATAATATTAATACAGTAAAGTTATATAACTGTTATGCTACTACAGTATAACACCTGTTATATAGTTACTCCCAGGTTATATATCAATTATATTTGGTGTTTGCTGGGTAGATAGCTTACATCAACCAAACACATAGTAAATCTTCTTCTTCCTTTATAATGGCACCTAGCCTCATCGGGACTAATGCGGCCAGATAGAAAACACATATTAATATATTAATGTAAGTTAACAAAGTCAATTCCAAGCATACATATATAAAATAGAAATTTTATTGACAAATATTAATACATGAAAATAAAATAATGTCATACTAAATAAAGTTAAAAGTATACAATAATAAAAATATGCAATTTGTGTAAAACATAACAAAATGTCTTGACTCCTAATATTCCTATACCTAAAATATATTTATTAATTTCTTGTGTCCAACTCAATCATTAGTCCGTACTTCAGTTACTCGATCCACCTCAGTACGAACCAAAGAAAGAGTGGAAAAGAAAGTAACTTAATATTTACAGTTAAAAGTTTAATATTTAATACTTATAACACCGTATGTAACTATGAAATCTATTTATTATAAACATAGCATGCAAACAAGAAAATAAAGATAAAGAAAATTATAAGTTGTTATTACCATGACCATAAACTGTTATAACATAAACACGTGAAAGTATATGCTCGCAAATACAATGTCACAATCAGTCATACACTTAAGAAATATAAATTAGTAATGGTGTATAAAAATAAAACTGTCTATA